TGGAAGCAATCCAAGATTTATGACTGAATGGGGTCATTAATACAAACATGAAATGTCACCCACTTGCCTGATTAATAAACTGATAGTTTATCTAATAGGTTGCATTTCTCCAGCGGTTTGTTAGCTGTAACACTTTTGTCAAATGAGCTGTTGGCCTTTACCATTTTCCTAAATTTGTCTGATGGGAATATCTAAATCCACAAAAAACTGAATCATTTTTTCCTATTAGTTCTTGTTCAGTTTGATTAAAGAGAATTGTCTTTGATTATTATTTTCTTTTCAGAAGAATGTATTGGTGAAATTCCCCCAAGTGCAAAAGTTTTGCAACCTGCCTAGTTACAAGGTGGCCAAAGGGAAAGGAGGGAAACAGCTTTCCTGCCTTCCTGGGGTTCAGTTAACCACCATAGCAGGAAGTGTTGAGGGAGATGGTTCCCACTGGGCTATTCTCAGATTGGAAGGATGAGCCTTCAAAGAAGTTTCTGAATTAGAGAAGTCTCTCTAAAGAAAGGAACACACTTATCAGGAGAACCTCCACCATTTCTGACAAAGGAGTAAGCTGCAACATTGCAAAGAGCCAGGGGTGTGCAAAATATTTCCTACACAAAACATTCACATGAAACTTGTATTCCTGGGCAGAGATGTCTTGGTGGGAAAAAATACCCAGGAGAGGGGTTTTTTTTGTGCCTTTAATTGCCCAATATCATAGAGCCACAGAGTTGAAAGGAGCTTAGGAGACATCTAGTCTAACCCCCTTCACACTGCATCATTCCTGTTACATATCCAACCAACTCACTTCCCCTCTTCCCATTCCTCCCCTCCCTTTAGCTGCCTCAGCTTCAAACACAGCATAACCAATCAGTCTTCCAGTCTGAGCCCTTCAATTTTCCCAGTTGGAAGCTTGGGAAAGGGAGGCACTGGGAAGACTGAGGGGCAGATAGGAGGAGAAGGAGGAGGCATTCAGTTTTGCTTCATATATCCTCCTAACTCCCTAAAACTCAAGATATCCGAAATATTCTGGGCCAGGGGTGTCAAACTTGACGTCACTCGTGTTGGGGGCACCTGTGGTGGCCCAAGGACTCTGCCAGCAAAACGGGCTCACAAGCTCCATTTTCAGCTCTTACTGCTGGCTGCATCCCTCTGCCAGTGGAAGCGGAGCTCTGGGCCCCCGCATGCAGCCCCCCCCAGCGCCATTTTTCCTGGCAGAGGCACTGTGGGCCGGTCCTTTGCTGTTTCCAGGGTGACCCCATGGGCCACATATAAGCACCCCGTGGGCTGGATCCACCCCTTGGGCCTTGAGTTTGATACTCCTGTTCTAGGCTGAGTTCTGCTCAACTGCGGCCCTCCAAGAAGAGTTGAGCAAACTGTCAGCCCTTTGAAGTGGACCAGAAACAAAGGATACGGCTTTACTTAAAGGCTACAGTAACCAAATATTGCAAGTTTGAAAGCATTTATTTCCCAGAAAGACAGGGAGGGTGTTTTTGAAACTCTCCCTATTCTCTTCCTGTTTCTTTGGGCCGAGATACCTTTTGCATGACCACTGTTAGGCTCCTACTCATGTCTTCCAAGGTCATCCTCACACACCACAAAATGCTTTTTTTCACGTTCAAAACAAAAGACGTTTTCTGTTTCTGCTACTCCTAAAGAGAAGTTCAAAAGAAATTCTCAAGCAGGTTGAGAACAAGAAAGCAAAACTAATTTAAAAAAGGAAAAAAAGCTTTGGAGAAGAGAGATTTCAACAAAACACCAAACTATCTAAAGTTTCTGAATTGCTATCTATTAAAATCCTTGTCAGGAGGCCATCCCACAACTGGTAGCTCTGAGGTGAAAGAATGATGTTTTTCCTGACAGAGATACTTTTTATATGGAAATTCAGGACTTAAACCATTGTAAGGCACTAAGAATATATGTGTTTTATTCCACTGCAAGGCAAAAGACTGTTACATGGGACAGATTCAATAACACTGTTTAATAAGAGCTAAAGTCTCGCCTCAGAATTTCCAAACTGATCTAATCTCATACTTATCCTGAAACATATAATTAGTTGTGTAATTGTACAGTCTTTGCACATGAAGACATTTTTAAATACAATTATGGCACTTTATGAAATCAGTACCAGATCTGCAGTTACAAAAAAAAAAGAGTTTGATTAGGAAAATATTAAATATTTGGGGAAAAAGAGATAATTTAGGGACACACAGTGGTGGGATTCAGCCAGTTCAGGCACGTTTGGGTGAACCAGTTGTTAAATTGCTGGCTGGCCCCACCCCTTCCTGCCCCGCCCCATCCAGGAGTCTCTCCGCGGCCTGTTTTTGCTCCCAGGAGATTGCAGGGAGCCCCACTAGGCCCAAAATGAGGCAAGTGGGGGATGCAGCATTCCCCCCGTGGGCAGTCTTTGCTCCCAGGAGGTTGCAGGGAGGTCTAGGCACAAAATGGGGTGAGGACAATACCCCCCATGGTCCGTTTTTGCTCTCAGGGGAGTGCAGGAGGCCAAGTGCTGCCTGTCTCATCCGCTGGCCATGCCAAACATGGCCACGCCCACCCAGCCAGCCATTAGGGCAGAGAACCCGTTGTTAAATTATTTGAATTCCACCACTGGGGACCGTGTCCCACACCACAACTGGGAAGCTATCATATTGGTCACAGGGCAGACTGAAGTGAACTCTTCTCTAGATTAGGTGGCAACACTTAACCAACTCTGGCTAATCTTGAAAAGCCAATCAAGGCTTTTTAATGGGAGGCTTCCAGCACTTCCTAGAGATGTTATGCTAATGTTGAGGAACCCCCCCCCCATCTTTTTGAAAAAAGACAAGCCACTTGCAAGAAAATACCATCTGCTCTTATATTCATCAGGAGGTGAACCTCACACAGTTGAGACTTTCATTTTGCCTAACTCAACAAAATGAAGCATTTCAAGTACAAATTATGGATTATGTTTATTTGTAAACTGTTTAATGTCATGCAGATGTGATGGGAAGTATAGAAATTGGACAAATTATACCGATGACAGAGAAACTATTTCTGCTTCTTTGGTGCTGATGAGAACAGCCTTAATCATTGCTGAGGAGACGATCCCACTGACTTGACATCCCAGCAACTGCAATCCATTGAAAACCATAAAGCAATATTGATCAGTTGAAAGATACAGCTACAGTTTTAAATAGCCTTCTAATTCAGGCAATATCAGATGAAACAGGATTAGCGTATTAGTAATGGGCAAAGTTCTGAGGTAGAAAACGTTCATTGTCACAATTTCACTCTTCACACTGTAGATCCCAGTATATGATGTTACCAATGTATCCTCCGTGCTTCAACCTGACAATAATGATTATGAAGGGAAGAGGTGAAAAAACAGTGATGGGACGAATCATAGCTTATTCTCTGTTTCCTTCCTGGTACATGGCTTTTTCTACATTTCAGGCTGCCTAAATTCATGCTAAAGAATACCTTACAGCAGAACATAACTATGAAAAATAGAGGCAGTACACCAGTAACAGTTTTCCCTTTTTTCTTTTGCATTTCACAAATTGGATTTGATTGCCAATGGTCAATGTTATTCCCTTATAAACTCCCTTTATAGAAACTATACTATTTTATCCTAGCTAGTGCATTAAAATTGTTTCCCAAAATAGAGGATCTCATCACTTTGAATCTTATAGTTAAATATTTTTTAACAACTTCAATATACCGTAATTGTTATAACAATTAAAATCCCAAAATCTGAAAATTAAACACCTGTTGGGGAGGAAAGAAAAATAAACACAAAACATCTCACACACACATTATCCAAAGATATCACTTTAAACCTTTCAAAAGTACTTTGAATGATTTATGCAAATTTATGTAATGAAAATACGTTCGTCTGGAAATTGAAAAAAAGTGTCATTATAAATTACTTATTTTTCTATATGGAAAATACGTGCAATTTAAATGTGCAGGAGAATAGAAAGAAATTACAGGCGTGGATTTAGCTCCATAAAAACACGTCTAGCTCTATGCTCTATGTAAGTACTTTATAGTTTTATAAAATATCACATATGAATCCACTCAGCTTGAATTCAGTGGCCACCATCAAGCAATGCTTTATTTAATAAGTTTCACTGAATTCTATGGTAATTATTTCTTTTACATTAGCTTGTGAAATGATTTTGAAATTCTTGAAGTGAATATGCTTAACTTAAATATTGGATCTGGAGACCATTCTGTGGTTTTGCCAATATAATCAACTCACTTGCTAATAGAATACAAAATTTTAAAGATAAAAATAGATATACTATATTTCAGCAGGGATTTAAAAGTTTTTAATTTATAAAACAATATTTCCAGATCTGACACTATCAGCAATGCCACTAGAGCAAATGCCATTGTTCAAACACTTTCCCTACTATATAATTCAGACACTTCACTTCTATTACTCCATGATAAGAACAGTAAAGCAACTAATAATGCAAGTAAAATCTGCACACCCAAGAAGCTGGAAAAGAAATGTCATCATTTACATAATCAACACACAATACAAGAAGTGCAAAAGAAATCCTTACGCTTATATCACATGCCTGTTTTTCAACTTTGGAAAGTTAGAACGGAATCCCAACTTCTGCAGAATATTAACTCATTTTTGTGTGGAGCTCATAATCCAGATGGAATTAATTATAATTTGGAGCAGATGACATGGCAACAATGCAATTGACGACCAGAATCAAATCTTTCAGCCAGAGACAGCTTGTGACAAAAGGTCACAGAGCATCCATTGCAGAGATAACCACATCTAATGAGCTTTTCATTAGCATTGGATAAAAGATCTGAAGGATCTATCTAGATTAGCTGTCCAAAAGAAGGATGCTTGGTCATCTATATTAAATCATTTTTAGTGTAAACATGGAAACAACATTCACTTCCCCTTATTAAATGGCCATCTATATTAAATTATTGTTAGTATAAACAACAAGGAAAGAACATTTACATTCCTATTAAAATCATCAAAATGATGGAAAACTGCATACCAGCTTGCGAATTTCCCGATCACAATCTCTCTTTATCCGGGTGATTTCTTCTTGATGTAGGTGATAAACGCTCCTTATCTCTGCTGCTTTTATTTTGTCAGCTTGAATGACTACCGATAAAGCTTCCTCCACTTGTTTCTTTGCCCCCTTCAGTTCCAAAATTTCCTGCTGCATTTTAATTTTCTCCGCTTCAAATCCTTTCTTGGCCTCTTCTTTTGCTTCAGAGTAGAGCACCGTCTTAACCTTGTCAGGTGTCCCATCTCGTACAGCGTTAAGTAAGGTTTGGAGTCTCTGAATCTCATTATCTTTAATTTTGATAACTCTAAGAATCTCAGCCTCATGCTGCCTCAAAAGTCCTTCGCGAACACCCTGGAGCTCTTTCATTTTTTCCTCATGAAGTTTAGCCTTGAGTTCCGTTACAATGACTGTGTTTTTATGCTGTTCGTGTTCTTTAATCTGCCTAGTTTCTTGGTTTTTCTCCCTCTCCAATTTGCTGGCCTAAAAGACAAGGAAAGAGCCTTCAGTGTGTTAAAACAGCATCTTACCACAGAGTTATATGCATTATTCCATGTACTATAGAAAATTCTTATGATTCTGGAGGGAGGAGCCAACGTTGTGATGATACATCATGTGGACTCGACAGTCCGAGTCCACTAATGACACTTTTGCTGCTGGACGGTCCGGCAGGACCTAAACCATCCCAAAGAGATGGTGACTGGGAAGACAAAACCTTGCTGATCGCAGGGACACCGCAAAGTCCCTGATCGACCCAAGGGAAATGCTTCCAATCAGCGGCAAACAGGCAGCCCCCAGGCTGACAAAGTCAGAGACAGCTCTGGAAGGAAAGAAGAAGTGAAAGTGTTCCATCTGGTGAGGCTTTTTTTTTTTTACTTTCAGAAGATTGCTCTAAGAAACCCTTTT